TTACAGGGAACCAGACAGAGGGCCTTCTCGGTAGTGGCGCCCACCCTGTGGAACACCCTCCCTTCAGATGTGAAGGAAATAAGCAGCTATCTTATCTTTAAAAGACATCTGAAGGCAGCCCTGTTCAGGGAGGTTTTTAATATTTAACGCTGTACTGTTTTAAACATTTGATTGGGAGCTGCCCAGAGTGGCTGGGGAAACTCAGCCAGATGGGCGGGGTATAAATAATAAATTATTATGATTATATTATTATAATCCTCCACCCAGCCCTGTTTCCACCTCTAGATCTTCATGAGTCACCTTCACAGTCCCAATGGCCTCAAGAGCTCCAAGTGGACCATTTTGGGAGACCCAGGTCTAAGTCTTTTCCAGGGACTGTGGCCTGGGTCAGTCAGAGAACTAGTGACAAGGCTTGGTGCTTGGGGTCAGCTGAATGGGTGCTCAGGGAAGCTCCTGTTCTTGGAGACGGACTCCGTCTACATGCCTCACATTACATGGAGAGAGCATGAGAAGCAGAAGGAAAGCAGCAGGCAAATGGGAAACACCCCACCCCAATTGTTCCTTATAATAATGATGTGCTGCCTGATCTCGTGCCCCTCTTCTGACACAGGACTACCCTAATTTGGCACTGACAAAGCTGGATATTCAAGGCAAAGGGATAACTGTACTTAATGAAAAGTTCAACCTTGTAACACTGTCCTAAAGGATCTTCACTCGCACTCAGTGCATTTCCGAGCACAATTCAAACTGCTTGTGCTGATCTTTAAAGTGTCATGGTTGCATCTTTCAGGCAAGAAAAGTATTGATCTGACATATAGAGATCATTCCTTGTCTATTGGTTCAAGGTGGTCCTAGTAGTTTTGCTCTGTGTAATTCAAAGCTGGTGTTTTCTCTAGCTGGAGCATTTTAGCTGCTAAGGGAGTTTCCTTTCTGCTGAGAGCAGGTGGTGGAATAAGTTGTAATGAGGTTATGCTGAACCTTCTTGTCTTTGGGAACCAGAAGAAACTGGTTTAAACTGGAGTGAGCCAGGCTTTATTTCCGGTCCAAGGTTACTCTGACATGGAATTGTCTATAAATCGCAGTATTGAAAGGCGCCTGGTCCCACTTCCTATTCTGCTATTCTCTACTCTTCTTGTGTCTTTCTTACTTGAGTGCTGTTTTGCTATGCTGTGTTAGGGTTTTACTGTAAATTCAGTTATTGGGTTGTTATGATTCTTTGCCTTCAATACTAAATTTATCTGCTGAATGGATTTTTTTGCTGCCTCTGAGTGTGTTTTTTCTACTCTAACTATATGTCGGACTTGGAGATCATTATGGAAGAAGATCTGCAACCTAAAGCCTTCAACCGCCTTGGCCCTGTAGACCTGAAGGAGCGTCCCCCCCCTCTCACATCCTTCACTCTGATCCCTGAGGTCCTCCTCTGAGGGTCTTCTGCTGGCCCCTCTCTGTGATAAGTGAGGTTACAGGGAACCAGGCAGAGGGCCTTCTCGGTGGTGGTGCCTGCCCTGTGGAACCCCCTCCCTTCAGGGGTCAAGGAAATGAACAACTACCTGACATTTAGAAGACAGGAGAAGGCAGCCTTGTGTCAGGAGGTTTTTAATGTTTAATGTTTTCCTGTCTTTTATATGTACTGGAAGCTGGCCAGAGTGGCTGGGGAAACCCAACCAGATGGGCGGGGTATAAATACTACAATTATTATTATTATCTTGTGGGGTTTTTTGTAGTTATTTTGGAATTTGTACTGCAATATCAGCTCATGAAATGTTATGGGTGGAGAAAATCACAGGGTTGCTGTGTAAAATATAATCCCACCCACAACTTCTCATTTACATACAGTCTGTAAATTTGGGAAGGTCACACACCTCACCTGTGCTAATACTGGCAGTCTTTGGCCTGCACAGGCACACCTGTGTAGAGCCTCCAGCCACAGGCACTGTCTATCAAGAAAATGGGTCCTTTGACTGGGAAGATTCATGCAGTCGCTGTCATCGGATGCTGATGGATTGTATCTCAGCTTGTCAGTCACTCTGACACTGCCTACAAAGAATAAGAGGAACAGAAATGCTTTTGAGGTGCAACTTCTATATCAGCCCTGAGAGCCATTCCATGGACTCTGCACCCCTGTTTCTGATGACAGGTGTACATTATCCTCATCCTCAATGAACCAGGTAGAGGAAAAGACACTTAAAGATGGAAGCCTGAGGGAGAGGAAAAGGTTTCTGGCTGCTTCCTGGGTGGGATTGCGGAAACAAAGAGCCGCTTCTGAGAAGGCCTCCCCCCTCCCCTCTTCCTCTCGGGATTTCCTCTCCTCTCCAGGGGACCAGTGGTTGGAGTGGGCAGAATCATTGTCTGGACAGGGCAGGGGCTTATGGGGTGGGAAGAGGATGGAGATTACAGGAAGGAAGGGGTGGGGGGACTAGACCCGACTTTCCAGGATCCTCTCTGGTTGCCTTGAAGGGGGGTCGATTTCTGGGCGGAAGGGAGAAGCAAGGCGGCCCCTCCGGAGATTCATCGTGGGCGTCATGATGGAGATGTCTCCCCAAAGACTGGTCTTCCTCTCCCCCCCATTGCTGCGCTTCCCTGACCCGGGGTGCCCCCTCCTTCTCCCCCACTTCCATGACCCCTCTCTTTCTCCGGAGTCTCGCCTGAACCCAGACGCCCCCTTGGCCCGGCTCACCCCTCGCCCTGCGCGCCCATCTCTCCGTCCCTAATGCCCCCAAGATGAGCGGGACAGGGGGTCTCTATCCAGGCGCCTCCCGCACCCTTAACCCTTTCCTGGCCCGCTTCTCCGCGCCCCAGGGATGCCTGCGCGGGGGAAACGGGGCTAGGGAGTCCTCGTGGGTGGGCGCCCCATCTCCACCCCTGCGAGGAAAGCCCCTTGGCAGCAGGCGTGCCGGGATCCAGGCCCCAGAAGGCGCTTTGGGGAGCTGGAGGGGGTCTCTGTGTCCTTTTCTCTCCCTCCTCCGACCCCTTTACCTCTTTGTGCTCGCTCCCGATCCTCCTTTCCTTTCCTGCAACATCCACGTGGGTGGGGAGGATTTACCTGCCGCCCCTCCTCCCCTTTGAGAACGCGCGCGCCCTAGAGCTACGGGGCAGAGCAGCAATCCGG